TTTCATGCTCCTGACTAAAATTACAATACTTAACTAGGATATAAAAATGCACTTTCAGTCAGAAATTCAACCTTAGGTCTTCATTTTATCTAAAGTAATTTGTTTAAAAACAACATTCTGCAGTAATCTCGGCAAAAAATAGCAACTATGCACTTCTAAAAACATTCCAATTGCAAAGTGCTCTTGAGCCTGGAGTTAACTTCTTGACACCAACGTCAAGTCGCCACAATTAAATGTGAAATATAGCCCCTGAGCAGGCTGGCAGTTGCAGCCTCTGAAGACCCAGTTAAGTTGTTAGAATGCACAATAAACTCATTCATAAGTCTGGGCGAAAAGTCTCACAGCAATTTAGCCAAAGACTACTTCACACCGCGACGGACTCGCCCACAAATCAAATTGCAATCCCCGAGAGCCAACTGCGAACTGAGCCCGCCCGAGTTAGGTTTTATTTTTGCAGTTGAGATGGGGTTAAGTTGATGCACAGGGAATAAAATTGTAGAAAACTAGGTTTTTATGAAAACTAGAGGGTAGAAATTCTTTTACATAAATAAATATAATCATATAGAAAAACATTTGAATAATAATAGATAATAACTTCAATGCTTCTATCTTTATGTTAATATGAATTGTAAAACTCACTTTAAACTATCTTAGGAAATATCTCTATGGCTCCTAAAAATATTAGCAAAGTGTCTTGGATTCTGAACCATTTTTGGGGATAAAGATTACCATTTTATTATGTATAAATTTTTATGTGAATAAAAATAAGAAATATGTTCACGAATCACGAAATTTTAATAAAGTTTCCACTTGATTTATGAACCATTTTTAAGGTTACATAATCCCTTAGAATCCTTGGACATAAATGTACTGTTTTTAAGGATTTATTTTCCGTATTTTAAGATAGTTTTTCCCCATTTGTTTTTCGAGTGTTTCCAAGGGAAACAGGAAACGCGATGAGCAGACCGACACCTGGCCTCCTCGTTCATGACAAACTGCCACTCCAGGCGTGGCTGGGAAAATGCTAGGGAAAAGCGGGGCATGGTTAGTGGGCAATTGAAAAATGACGCCCGTCCGTCCGTCCGTCCGTACGTCCATCCAGCCGGTGGAAAATGCATTCAGCAAATGAAGCCGCATCCAAAAGCACATGAAGCGAGCATCAGCAGCAGCAGCTGTGGGAATTCATTCTGAATGCGACCGATATGTCAATAGGCAGACTGCTGCTGCCCTGTGTTTGAGTTTATTTAATTTTTTTGCAGCCACTATACTATGTTTTATTAGCGATCCACTAATTGCAAAAATTTGTTTCGTATTTATCCAACAACAAATAAAAGGCCAACGTGTGTTTGTGTTTGCTGCCTTATGATCATTAAATATTTGAAAAAATGTTATCAGCAGATTGGAGTTTTGGGTTCCCAAAATGAAATGGTATAAAAATTATAAAGCATTTCGTGTGTTGACTCTACGTTGCCGGCGCACTAATTGAAAATGGCAATTGAGCTGGAAAAATATAAAAAAATATACTCGTACACACACTTTTTCCCTTTTTGTTTGTATATTTACTATATATTTTTTTTATATTTGCGCTGGGTAAAGTTACAGTTGCTGCGATAAGCAGCGAAATCACAACTGATAAAAGAAATAACAGAATAAACAACTAAATGCAATGTAAATACTAATGAGATACGAGGGGAGAGTGGTTACTGATAAACATTTGTGGGAATTAAATGAGATTAATTCCGGTTAAAATGCGGAGAAAATGTATGGGAATCGATTTGATATAAATGATAATCTATAAGAAGAGTTATTTTAAAATAAATAAAGGAAGGATTAAGAAATAGAATTGTTAGACAGAATACGACTCTTTGACAAGCTTTTTAAAAATAATCTTTATTATTTCAAAGTTCAATTATTTTATATATTTATATACCCAAGTATTTAGTCATTACCCTATTATGCCCTGTCAACCTCCTATATATTAATTGATTTGTTTAGAAAATACAAAGTCCATTTGTACTTTCTATAATATATCACTCACATGAATCATTTGAACCGCTGTGTCATTCTGCTTATCAAACATTCCTTGTTGTTTTTTTTTTATTTTCTTTTGTTGATAAGAAAAACACAGAAAATTACTTCAAAATAGGAATGTTGGGATAAAAAAGAGCACAAACATCAGGTTAATTGGCATTTCAGCAATTTTATCTCTGCTAAAAAAAGCAACAGAAAAAACAGTAAACTAAACTGCTGCCAAATTTGATAGACAAAAACCGTGGCAACCGTTAGCTCTGATTTAATTAGATTTTGATTTGTTTTTTCTACCTGTGCTACAGTTTATCACAATATCTAAGATCTTTTGCAAATATATGTGCGAATATATAATATATACAAGAAAACAAGAACACACGATTTTAGCACCTAACTGTGACCATGGTTGGGATTTTATATAGTTTTAGTTGTAGTTGTGCGTTGGACTTTTTCGTGTGCTTCTTTGGTTGGCTTTTAAAGCAGGTTTTTCCATTTGGCCTTTGGCATAAGCCACACACTGAAACTGAACTCGGAGAGCAAAAGCAAAAGCCGCACAAGTCACTGGATTTGTGTGGATGTTTGGCCCATACAAATATGAATAAAATGGTACAGTGGATGCTGTATAAGTGGATTTTAATTGGAATTAGAATTTATTTAGAAATGATGAAAGTATTTTATACGAAAATAATTTTGATAAAATTAAATTTAAAGGAATTTTTTATAGAAACCTAATAATAGGTTTTGTGACTAATTAAGAGCTTGTAAAAAGATTAACAGCTAAAACTCATTGGGAATTATAAGTTCATAGCTTAAAAAAAGGGTTTTAGGAAAGATAGATAATTGTATAATTTAATTTGTACGACTAATAGTGATATTTAGCTTCATTTAAACTAAATCACATACTTTAATAAATATTTAAAAATGTGTATTTCCCATTTTATAACCTAATTATTCTATAATTTCAGAACCCACTGTAAAGGTATAAAGTGTACCCAGCCGGGAAAGAGAAATATGCCTGAATGTTGTAGCTTTTATTTTTTCCTCTTTTTTGTGATTATTCCTCTCTTTTTTATTTGGTGGCTGCTGCGTGTAAAATCAATAAATTCGAGCGGGTTCAGAGGTGACGACAACGTCGAAATGCTTATGACCTTCAGGCCTCTAGCTGACCTTCTCAGCCTGCCTCTCTGTGCACCACTTCCCCATTTTTTATTCATTCTACCATTATCCGCCTTGGCAATTAAATGTATATGTAATTTTTTACACTTCTTTTTTTTGTATTTAGCAGGCCGGCACTGGCACTTCTTAATTATTGTTGTTAAGCTGGTTATGGTTTGTTGCTTTTATGCTTCTTTTTTTGCTGTTTTTTTGTTGTTATTTTTGTTGTTGAATTTTATTCGCCCGCGGCATTCATTAATTTCTTGCCTTATTTGTTGCCCTCGCCGCTTCGCTCTTTTGGTTATTGGTATTAATAAAAACTTTTCTTTCACCAAAAGCCAGAAACAAATCCATCGTCGTCGGTTGCTCAACAAGTTACGTCAGAGGGGGGCAAAAGAAAAGAAAGAGAGAGCCACAATGGGCCCGTAGAAAGAGTAGAAAGAGAAGGGGCATGTGGCGTTGGCGGAGATTTCAGAACAAAACAAAAGATTAAACCTTGATGGATTAGGATTACAGCCCTTGTGTGGTACCAAAGAAACAAACAAATGTGAAAAGACTTTTGTAAAACTAAAGTTAAACAAGGAAATTATGAAATTTTAGTTTGAGAAAAACGCCGAAGAAGGCCGCTAAATACTAATTATAAGTTTATTTGTTTGGAGATTAAATGATAATTTCAGGCTAAGTCCTCTTAAATTGTATTTGAGATGTTTATATTTGAGGAAAACAGTGAGACTTTATTGTCTCAAAAAATTGAGTATAGAAATTATTTAACAGGAATTAATTTATATCTTCAGTTGTTTAGTATTTCTCTATTATTTATAGAATGATAAGTAGGAGTCTATTTTAATTGAACAATGATCTAAAGTTTCTTAAGCTGCATTTAACTTTGTCATTGACTCGCCTCTCAAGCTGTATGTTTGCCTTGAACTTTAACCGAGTTTGCTTTGCATATGCACTTTATATCTTTTTTATCCCCCTTTTGTAGGTCACTTATAAAGGTATTTTATGGCTACTTTTTGGACAGTTTACTGGCCATATTTTTAATTACTGAGAAGAGGCTAAGTAATGGTGTGGTTTAAGCTTTTTTAGCTGTCGGAAATAGTTGATAAATATAATTTTATAAAAGAAATCGTGTTGTTCGGAATGAGTTTTAAACTCTTTCTACTTTTAAACATCCATCTCTGTGTTTGTATATATTTTATTTGGTTTAATTAAAAGCTTCTTCAAGTAAGTTTTATGAATTATTTATTTAAGCATTTTAAGTTTAGGAAAGAAATACTAAAACTTTTTTAATTCAAAGCCATTTAATCAAAAATCTATTACAAATAATAGCTTTAAGTTTATAGATTTTTTTTATTCGATCTTGGTAGGTTTATAAAATCGATACCCTTACAGGATACTCTAATTTTAGTCAGAGGTATAAAATTCAGTAAATTAATCATTTCCGACCCTATAAATCATATATATTTTTGATCAGAATAAAAAACTGCGTCGATCAAGCCATATCCGGACACAATTTATTTTTTTCAAAAATTTCCAAATTTTATAAGTTAATAAAATATAATAAAATATAATCAAAATTTCAAGAAAAAATTTAAAATTTAAACTTTTTTAATTTTAAATGCAGATTTGTTAATCTTAAAAAAACTAGCATAGAACATTTTTCCGATTGGAAATTAAAGCATTTTTGACTAAGTTATGATCGATTTTCTCTGCAAGGTGTAACAAATTTCGGGTTCCCGAAATTACCTTCCTTTTTATCCCTTTACTATATATTTTACATCTAAATATTAAATATTTTCTTTGTTAAAACTCACCATCTTTAGCATTTGTTGCTGCTCCCTGCTGCTGTTGTTGCTGCTGCTGCGTTGTTGTTGTTGTTGTGGTTGCCATTGCTTTTGTTTTTATTTTCGATTTTCGCGGTGTTGTTGTTGGCGTTGTGCAGACAGAAGCCGCTGCTGACGCCGACGTTGCTGCCTTATAGAACGAGGCTATTGTTGTTGTGGACGCCGCCGTCGTTGTTGCCGTTATTGTTGTTTTGTCCACGACGTCAGCAGCTGACAAACTGCGCGAGCAGTGCATTAGTCACCTGTGTATGTGTGTGTGTGCGTGTACGTTCTTTACAGGTGCAAGCAGGGGAGGCGGATAACCGGGGGGCGAGTGTCCTAAGTGGGCGGTAAAAATCAGCTGATAAAAAAATAGAGAAAACGGCAAAAAAAATTAATCAGCAGCTGTTTGGCTACCGACTAGAATGAGGGGGGGACCTGAGGTAACGGGGGGTTGCCAGGTAAGCACAATTACCCAATGGTAACCAGGAAATAATGCATAAAATCAAACAAAGGCAAAGAGTACAAGAGAAATTGGGAGAACTACATGATGCTGATATATATTAATTTATTCTATTATCTTGGCGCCAGAGGGAATTTAGTTTTAGTTAATTTAATGTATATATACTTTTCTAATTGCATTCTTCATACTATATTTTCTGTGCTTATATTTTTGGGGAATATTTATAACAAAGTTTTTGTTATGTATAAAAATAGGGAGCATTTATTCTTTATTTTTAGAGGAAACATTTTAGTTTTTTTAAGCTTCTTTTTGCACTTTTAGTTCACTTTATTTAATTACTTCCAGCAAAACTTGCACCAAAATTCCCTCTTCGTTTATTATAACATTTTTCCCTTGCACACTTTAAATATTTCTATTGCATTTCTTCCACTTATTCATAAATTCAATTATTTGTATAAAACTTGCTGTTATTATTGGCCACTTTTTCGTTTCTCTTCTTTTTTTGCTCTTTTTTTGTTTGGTTTTATTATATTTTCACTTCTTTTCTTATTCTTTTTTGCTTCTTTGCTCACATGTGCGTAGCTGTTAGTATGTGTGCGAGCGCGCTCTCGTGGGTGTATGTTTGTGTGTTTGCCTATGGCCGCCTGGCGATGTGCATTGCACCGAATGTGTTGTTGTTGGTGCAAGTGAAGCGAACCGCGTGCTCTGTGGCTTACGCACCTGCCGTTCACCCGTTTCCACAGCTCGTTGGCGTCGCGGGACACCTCTAGCACGCGTTGCACATGTTTTTGTTGATTTTACGCGACCGATTCTTGTGTAATTTTGCAATAAACTTTATAAACGACGACCGCAAAGTAACCATAGTAAACAAAAAAAACAACAGGGCCGCCAGTGTGATGGCCCGACGTTCCGTTGAAAATACTGAATTTTGCGGTGGATTTTTCTACTCACAAGCATCTGGTCCCACTGCGAGTAGCTAGAACGTAATCAAGCTACGTTATAGCTAGATAGGAGAACTAAAATAGCCAAGATCCACTCAACTGTTGATGCTGATCAAGAATACCTTACATGGCCGGGGGTAGCTCCAGTGCGTTGTACTCTTCGAACTGAATTTATAATACCCTGCAAGGGTATGATTTGCTCAACATGTGCAAATCTATATATTGAATTAGCTATAGTAAAGGAGCTAATTTTGCGCACTGCTTGGTTAAGGGTTATGAGAGTCATTCCAGTGTGACCAAATCGAGAAGGAATAAATATCCAACATTAATGAGCGGATTTTACTCACCACTGCAGCTGGTCACAAAGACCGGGAAAGTTCAATCAGATGGCAAGAAGTGCAGAGTCAGGGTGGTAAGCTTTGCTAACTTTGCCTCTTAAAGCACTGCTTTCTCAATGTGGGTTCCGCTTTTGATACCGCTCTCTGACGGAAAAGCCACTAACAGAAAACTTTGTTAAGGGAATAGAAAGAACCGCCACCTAGTCAGCCGTTGGGCGAAGCTCCTAATGATGTCCAAATATTCTAAATAATTTATATTGGAATTAAATAATTCGTAATATTTAGAAACATAATTGAATTAATATAATTTTAATTTGGAAAAGGTTTTTAATAAATAAAAATTAAATAATGAAATAACTAGGAAAGTCAGCAATTTCTTTTCATAACTTAATTTTGGCACCTTTTAAAATTATAGGTAAGTCCCAAGATAACCAGGGTTTCTTTAACAAAGTTAACAAAAAATACATTTCTTTGGCGAATTTCGCCTAAAAAACCGGTGACCTTGACTACGTTAAAAATATGACACAAATATTACAGGTAATAAAAAAGCATAAAAAGCATTGGGATAAAGTGAGGTAATTTCTCGGATGACGAAGATCGCCTGATTGACAGCTCCCACTAGTGTTTTTGTATTTCTTATTTTTTTGTCACCTACTTTGCATTTGTTGCTTGTTGTTTTTGTTTAAAACTCTTTTTTTTTGGTATTCCGCACGATTGTTGAGTGAAAGTTGCCACCGTTTAGAGTAATGATTTTTGACTGCCACGCCCATTCGCTGCCATCGTCGCCCCCACCTGTCGATGGATGTGAGCGAGGTGTTAATTCGACAGCCAATTGTGTGTGCGATAACAACAAAATATGCGGAGAGAGACAGAAAAAAAGTGTCATTGCATAATCTTGGTCAGACCAGGCTGAAACCGAAACTCGAGCAAATATTTTTGGGGGCCAAGAAATCAGCAAAAAAACTTAAAGAAAGAAAAACAATTAACCAACTCCCAGAAAAGCCATAAAATTCGAAAGAACCCAAATGAGTGAGGCGTTTTTTTTGGGTTGGAAAAAACGTGTTTGTACCGAAATCAATTTGCCTCTGCAGAAATAAAAATCACAATCAGGCAGAGGTCTTAAAAAAAGAATAAACATAAAAAAACTTAACAGAGATCGCTTAAGAGAGATCGATCCACGGAGTCAAGTCAATGTCCTTTCAATGTTTGATTTTAGCTTTAAATGCTCTTTAGTCAGGTGAGGGTGTTGCTAAAATAAGTATAAACTTGTTAAAAAAATAAGAATTAATACAAAATTGGAAAGTTGGTTACAAGACAACTTAATGGATTTTTAAAATTTTAAATAGATATTTACAGCTTTATATTGGTTTATTAAAAAAGGCTTCAAGTAATGATTTTATTTTATAATTTTATTCATACGCAGTGAAGGAGTCGTTTCCGACCCTATAAATCATATATATTCTTGATCAGCATCAAAATCCAAATCGATCTAGCCTTGTTCGGTCAAAAAATAAATTTTCGAAAACTTTTATCAAAATTTCAAAAAAAGATAAGGGGTAACATCGTTAAAATTTAGAAAAAATTTTATTTGTTTTAAATGTTAAAATTAGTATGCAGATTTATTAACCTTATAAAAACTAAGACAGAAATGTTTTCCGATTTGAAATTAACGCATTTTTGACTGACCGATGATATAATATGATATAATATTTTCACTGCAAGGGTATTGAAAGATTTAAAGAACCTTCAATGATATCTTAAACGAAGTATTTTATTTATTTAATTAGTATATCATTTTATTTTAAGTATTTATGCATATATATTTCTTATTTAATTTATTATATATGGTTTTAAAAGAAAACTATACCATATACGATTTTCCTTGAATGCCTAAAAAAGTTTTAATAAATTTAGGTATTTCTATAACCCTGAATAACTTGTTTAAAAGTTTCTATAAATTATAAAATTATTCCAAAATCCTTTTTACAAGGGTATTCCTTAACCATTACCAACAAAACTACACCATCTTTATCATTTACTTTTTTATTAGTTACCTTCTTGTAGTACTTTGTACTTTGGTTCAAGCCCTTCTTTGACCAAGAACTTGTTTGTGGTCACAAAATCTCGATCGATATCGAGCAGGTCTTAACCATATATCCCAGATAACTTTTCCTTCCACTCACAGTTTTCTCCCTGGCCAGAAGTTTGACCCATTTAACTACATTTAAATGGTGGTCATTTGCATAGAATAGACATTAGTAGCCGGAGCTTTTGTTCGCTGGCCTCGTGGGCGGCGTTGTTGCATTTCTAATGAATTATTAACCCAGAATGGGTGAAAACGCATCCCAAAGATGCATCCCAGCATCTGCAGGCGTATATATCTGCATCTTCGTTTGTCTTCGTTGGTCCAAAGCTAATTGACTCTAAAAATAGCCAGAGCAGGTTTTTCAGTCTTCGGGAACGGGTTTCCACGACTCCAGAGCCAAACCAAACTAAAGCTAAAGCTCTGCAGATCGGTGAATCCGAAAGAACCAAAGATACAAAGATACCAAGATCCCAGCCAGCCAGCCAGCAGAACGCTTCGTGTCGACGCAAATGGGTTTCTTCTTGGACTTCTTGTAGGAGCATTTAACCAAACAAGAAAACAAGAAAATTCTGCTGATCAAATGTCGCAGGCAACAAGGAATGAGAGTGAAAAAAAGGCGCATATAAAGAGGGGGAAAATTGAGGAAAATGGGGGAGGGGGGAAGTTAAACCAGACAATGATCGAAGTAGAGACTTTAAGGGCTAGACTAATCGCCGCACAGTTGGACAATGTAAGCTTCTTCAGGCTTTTAAAGGTAATATTTACCAAGGTTATTAGGGCTGTCTTGGTAGATAATATACAGATATATATTTTACAGACTTTTTTAGACGAGAAAAATATTAACATTTGTCCAGGAATTTAATATATTTTCTTCACTTACATTTAGATATGTATTTCAATATTTTTTTAAAGCGTGACTTAGGCTAACTATTTTATAGGTAATTAGTATTATATATTATTATAATTTATACAAATATCTTATATTTTCTTTACACATATTTATTTTCTACATTATACGATTTATTTATACCATATTTATATTTATTTATGGTAATTATGTTACCTATATTAGTTATATCAACATTGTACACGACTTTCTTTTGGTAGTTAAAATATACATATCTTATTATTCTATCAGTTCTTTAGGGAATATTTTTCAAATATCTGATTATCTCTTAGTATCAGTTCTTCAAAAGAAAATATTTATAATATCTAAATATCTCTTTTACAGTTTGTACTTTTTATATATTTTTGTTTATTTCCTTAGGTTCCTATTCGTTATCAGTTTTTTCAGTTAAATAAACCTAGGTTATCCAGAGATTATTTCACATTACCTTTACCTATCCATAAGTAAAGAAAATATCTAAGATAAACACATAATCCCTACTCAAAAGATATATATATATTTTCAACATTATCTCTACTTGTAAGAACCCTTGGTAAACTTCCCTCTTGATCCCCTTTTTTTCTATATTGCAATCATCCTTGAGCAAAACCAAATATTGATGGCCGTAAAGTCTTTAAAAACAAACATGATTGATGAAGGATGGTCTCTGGGACTCACTCACTCCACCAAGACCAAGTTAAGACTTGGCCAATTATGTGTGCAGCTTCTTTAGCATCGATCTGCAGGCCTTAAGAGACTGCCAAGATGAAGCCCTTTTCGATGGCAAATCGAACTTGGACCAGTACCAGTATCAGTTCAATGACACTCACCGCCGCCAAGAATTGGCCAGAAGGAGGATGGAGTTGCATTGATATTGCTGATATTTTCTCTACCAACTCCTCCTACCAACCATCTCATTTTTTTTCTCTCTCTTAGCCCTGTTTGTCTTCGACGGCGGCAGCGGCAGAGCACCGCCGCAGAGCGTCGGCTTCGGCGGCTCTGACGGTTTCGTATAAAATGCGTTGGGCCTAAAGAAATTTCAAACAGTTGCGGCCGTGAGGCGCTTGTGAACGAACGCATCTTGAAATCGAAAAAAATATCTTATTTTATTTATATAAAATAGTATTTAAAACGTGAAAGTGTATCCTGTTTTGCTAAGAAAACAAAAATGAAGCCAATTGCCTTGATCCTGTTGTTCCTGGCTGCAAGCCAAGCTAGAGTGGTGCAACTGCCCCAGGATATTCCTGTGACCGTGGTGGAGGAGAAGCAGCAGCCAGCTCCAGTGGCTTTACCTTTGGTTAAAGAGGAAATCAAACCCAGACTTGAGGAAAATATTCCCACAATCAAGGAGGAGCTAAAGCCTGAAATTAAGCCAGAGATTAAGGAAGAAATTATACCCGAAATTAAGCCTGAGATCAAGGAGGAGTTAAAGCCAGAAATTAAGCAGGAAATCAAGGAGGAGTTAAAGCCTGAAATTAAACCTGAAATCAAGGATGAGTTAAAGCCAGAAATTAAGCCTGAGATTAAGGAAGAAATTAAGCCTGAAATTAAAGAAGAAATTAAGCCTGAAATCAAGGATGAAACTAAGCGTGAAATTAAACCCGAAATCAAACAGCAAATCATGAAGGAAATCAAAGAAGAACTTAGGGAGAAATTCAATGAAAGGATCAAGGAACTCAAGAAAGCCACCGAGGAAATTCAAGACCTCAAGGAGAAGCCTCAGGAAATTAAGGAAGAAACTCCAGCTCTTTTAGAACTCATTCCCGAGGAACCCAAGCCAGCTGCCATTAATTTGAAAACACTCTCAGCCGAAGAATCTGCTCCTGTGCCCGACGCTGCCCAGGATCTGTCGCCTTTAGAACAAAATCAATCTGAAAACCAGGAGGATCCCGCTCATCCCCAGGTCCGTCAAGCCACCCAGGCCACACCCACGCAGCAGAGCACCACACAGGGCAACTTTGTCCAGCAATTGATCCAGAATTCACCCATTGGTCAGTTCCTGAATCAATTCCAACCGCAGCAGCAGCAACCCCAGCCAGCTGCTCCAGCTGCAGTCCAATCCGATGATGCCGCCGCACAGCCCACGCCAGCGCCCACAGTTCCTGGATTCCTGAATCCCCAGGCTGCCTTCACTCAAGCCACCCAGGTGGTGCAAAATGCCGCCCAATCGGTGGTCAACTCCACCACACAGGCCTTCCAGGGTATCCAGCAGTTTGCCAGCAATTTGGGTAATCAATTCCAGAATACTCTCTCTGGCTTGACCAACTCCCAGCCGGCGGTCTCGACCACACCACGTCCACCAGGTCCCATTCAGCAGTTTGTGAATAATGTTTTCGGTGGTAATAACAATGCCACTGCGGCGGCTCCAGCTCAACAGCAGCAGGGTGGTAATCCTCTCCAGGGTATCATCAATTTCCTGGGCGGAAATCGTCCACAGAATGCCCCAGCTGCTGCTCCTGTGACCGAGGCTCCTGCCAAGCAGCCCAATGTTGATGATAAAATCGATCCTGCCCAGGATGAGGTGGCCGAATTTGTCCCAGACACCGAGAATGAGGTTCGTGCCAGCGGAGAGTCCATCGATGACTCCTTCGAGGAGGCTGCTGTGCCCACCAATGAGGTCATTGTGGTCAATGACGATGCCGGTGAGGTGAACGAACCTGTTGATCCTGTCCAGGTCCAGCAGCAACCCGTCGATGCAGTGGCTCTTTGAGGAGGGGAAACACTGACGCACACACTCTCATCCATCATCAATCGACTGATGCCATTTTTTTTATTGCTATTTTTCGATTCTAGAATCCGAGAATGCTTTGGGAAAAAGGCTTCTTTAGTTTTCTAAGTGCATCATGCAACGCAACAAATTATTTATTTCATACTCTCAGCCCAGGAATTTATCTTTAAATGAGCAAATAAATATCATAAAATATAAAAAAGCGATTAATTAATAAAGTGGAGAGAGAAAGTTTTATTGGGGGAATACAAGTATTGAAAAGTTGGAAAAAATTGGACTTTTGTTCTGTTCAGGGAATTAAAATTTAAAGTTTTCACACATTTTTTACTTAAATAAATAAATTTTTAACTTAAAATAAATGGAAAAAAATTATTATTAATTATAAAGGGAATTGAAATATATATTAGATGCCCCAAGAAGATCCTAAAAGTGCACATTCTTCAAATCAATATTTATCGATATTTTTTATGATAATCAAAATTTTAAAAATGTCAAAACTAAGTCAAAAACACCTTAATTTCAAATCGGAAAACTGTTCTGTATTAGTTTTTATTCGGTTTATAAATCTGCATACTCAATATACATTTTAAAAAAATTCAAATTTTTGACAATTTTTTAAAATTTCAACGATGTAACCCCTTATAAAATTTTGAAAAAATTTCCTAAAATTTTATTTTCTCCGTAAGATAGCTATATAGACTCCCCTTTTGCTGCTGATCAAGAATATATATACTTTATAGGGTCGGAAATGACTCCGTCTAATAAATATTTGCAATAACATGCAAAGGTATACAAAAAATAAACAAATGAACTCAATTTAATTTACACTTTATAAATAATATATTTATTTATAAAGAAACATTACATTTCCTTTGCTTAATACTTCCGAATGCCTTCCTTTAGGTTATTTTCTTCAAAAATAAAAATTAAACTTTTAATTATATTATTTTACTTATCAAATTTGGAACAACTTTCCCTTTCCCATTAAAAAGCACCATAAAAGTTTATTCAAAAATTATCTCATATTTATTTGAATTATTTCCATTTGTTTTTTTCTTGATTTATTATTTTGATGTTTTTTTATTTTGTATTTTTATTTTGCTTTGGTTTTTTGTTCTTTATGTTTATTTTTGTTTCACATTAAGGTGGTTCATTAGCTCAAAAATGTTGACATCAACCGAGACGCGCATAAAATGTACACATTCATTATAAGGCTATAAGTATCTGAAGAATATGCATCGAACCCAGGCGATAGAACGAAGTCTTCCAATTTAAACTAGATGTCGCAGCTGGAGTTGAACTTATGCCCAAATATTTAAGCTAGTTTTCGTCATCATATATATATATCCATTTTTTTTGCTGAAATTCCATTTCAATTTTTGTGTTTTTCTTTTGCATTTTATAGTTACGTTTTAGCTAATGGGGTTTTCTTTTGGGGGGACATTTGGTTATTCAGTTTTAAGCTGCCTTAAGTAATGTTTTTATACTTTTTCTGATGATTTCTTGAGCTGGAGAATGTTGCTACTTAAAGTTAGAGAGGAAGGGAATTTATTTTGGGGCAGTGTGTGTGGATTTTGCGGGGGCAGTGTTCTATTGTTTTAGGGAATAGCTTTTTTTCTGTGAGATTTTTTTGATATATAATTACTTTGGATAATGGAAAACTGGTTCGTTGAGCACTGAGTTACAGGCGAAGGAGCAAAGTTTGGAGTGTGTGAGAGTGTGATTATCGGAAATGATTTAGTTACTTAGTCGAGTTAAGTCTTCTTTGAGATTGGTACATGAACTTAATAAGAGTTTTTCTTTTAGTTTTTTGATTTTCTTTTCGATAATATATATCATTATAGGATAAAGTGCGTAACAGGCAGAGGTTCGAAGATGGATCCATTCCATCCTATCCATACGATTTGAATTTATGCTAATTAAATGTTTTTATATAAGTAGGCCAAACATAACAGTGTCTTAAAGCATTTCCGTTTTAGCATTTCGCTCAGTGTATACGTGGTAAAGTAATCGAGATATATAGATAAAAGCGGGGGTTACCCAAAAAAAGTCTCTGATGATTTGAAATCTCTCTTAAAAAATGATACCGAAAGATATGCTTTTATGTTTTAAAAAGATTTCAAATCACTGAAGGACTTTTAAGGGTATTCCCCCTTATAGATATAGAAATATATGTAGCAGCCGTGTATTAGGTGTGTAAATATCGAGTAAATATTCCTCATGATAATTTTGATTGATGTGTGAGGAGGGGGGATTACATAGAAAAGTATTTGGTTTTTGGTTTTGGATTTTTCTGAAGCCGTTGAATATTGTTTCGTTTTTGTTTTTTGTCGTGGGTTCTTGTGGGTTTGGATATACACGTATATAGGTTGAATACACGGTTTCGATTTCGATTTCGATTTCGATTTTTTGATTTATAATATAAGTACGCTTTATGTATATATAGATGTAAATATATATATATGTGGGTATTACAATCATATGTCTGTTTCAGATACGTTTATAATGCAAATGTCTGTGTCTGTTGTGTATATAGCATGGCATTTATGGTATATCTTTTTTGTTTATTTAGCAATTATAGCAGAGGGTTACAGTTCTCTAAGTATATGAAGGTCATCTAATGGGCAGGAATGAGTACAGTTTCTTATCGTTTTTTTTTCTCCGGCAAAAATCCTTTGTCACTAAGAAGGTACAGTACTTGTGTGTGTGTGTATGTGAATGTATATATCTTGATCGATCGGGTCTGCTATATATAGCGCTAAGCTGGACAAAAAATGCTCAATAGAATTAGCAAATAGCAAAAAAATTTGTGAATCGAAAATCAGAATAGGGATTAAGTTTCTTTCCCCTTTTTCGGTTTCTCTTTTTTGGTCGCATTTTATAAAAATAAAAATTCGTTTTCATTTCTTTTTGGTTTTCATGCTACTAAAAAATATTGCACAATCGGAATCTAGAAAATATAACGCGCTTATCAAATATCAATCGTATATATAGCATAATTATCTGTATATTCCTATAAATATAATTTATGTATATATAATTTTCTGTTGTAACCTAAGCTTGCGTTTGGGTAAAGTTCTCTCGAATGGCTTCGTGGGTTATATTAACATGCAGACATCAAAAAGTTATATATATATAGATGTATATATATATATCATTGGGAGTAACCATTATCATATGTCTTAGATTTGCTTTTGGTTTTAGCTGCAATTGCTACGGGGATAATGGTTTTTATGGCCTTGGTTTGGGGGTATATTTAGAAGATGTTTAAAAGGTCTAAGGAAGACTTTATGCCAAATTAAGAGGGGAAATTAGTGACTAAGGGAAGACTGAGAGGAAAATAATAAAGTAAATCATAAGAAATATAATTATAAAGATAGTTATATAAACATTAACCAAGTAAGAATCAACCAAGGCCACATCTATATCCATCCCCTTGTGACTATCTTAATTATCAGCTTAGTTATATAGCTCAAAAGCAACTTTAGCTAGCTTAGATCGTAGATAAGTATTACATTTATCGTACATATGTATAGTATTATTGCTATTTGCTGTGTTTAGCATCTGCCGAGAGCCCCTCTCCACCCACTTTAAGTTAATAACTAAAGCATTGCTTAGCCATATATATATATATATATAGAGCTGGGGTGTGCTTAGTATGAAACTAAAAGTAGCAAAACTAGACTAGAATACAGATTGGTTTACTCTTCGGATCGTAATCACGATACGAATCCGTGTGTCCCTTGACCCCGTTTGCTTATAAATTCGTTTCAGTTCTGTGGGGTGGCAGGATGCCGGAGGATTGACTGGCCACCGCACCGCCGGGTGTGGCCATTCGCACACGTTCTCCAACGCCAGGACCCAGGATACGTCGCTGCATTAGCCTTGCTCCCATGCCGGTCATTGTTCCTCCTCCAGTTCCAGCTATTGATCCAGCCGCTCCTCCATTCATGGACCACTCATTTTGCTTGAGCAGAAACTGCTTCACATTGTACTCCATCTGGGCAATGTCCACATTTTGGGTGGTCGTGTGCAGCTCCGCCTGAACGGACCTCGTCTTGTCCGTATCATTGGGATAATATTTATAGTTGAGTATATCACACGTGGGCTGTTCGGGACAGATCAAAGCATCCGATCCGGAGGAGGTGGACTCCTCCAAAGTAACTCCAACTGCAGAGCTAACTCCACCAACTGACGTAGCCGCTGCCGTGGTGGTGGTGGTGTAGGCCACCGGCAGACCCGATCTGGTGGTTCTCCTATAGTAAGTGGTGCACATTTCCGTTTTCTTGGACGACGATGATGGCGCCGGTGGCACAGTGGTCTCCTGCTGCAGGGAATTGCTTGTGATATCCGTTTTGGGTGAGAGTGAGTCCTCCGTGGACTTCTCCGGATAGCCATTGGTGAGCTGCTGCGGTGTGGTCTTATAGCCCGAATCCATGGATAGTTTCTCTATGGATATGGAGTCCATGCGATCGAGGGTGGAGTATGAGGATTGCCTTTCGGTGCCCGAATTGGAATCACTTGTGGCCGCCGGTGGCTGTTGGAGATTCCTTTGCTCCAACTGCTGGGTATTATGCTGCACCCATTCAGCCACTCGACTGAGCTGCTGTCGTCGCAAAAGGACACTCTCCTGGTAATCGATGGCATCGCTTATGGAACTGGAGTTGGCGGAATGTTTTGGGGAATTCCCTGCAGCAGGCACCTCTCCACCAGCCTTGATTTCCTCCTTTTCGTCCTCGGCAGTCTCAACTTGGGGTTCCAGCACAGGCTGAAGGGCCACATTCTCGTGGGGAACTGCTGGTCCTTGCCAGGCTTCGACAGCTGCCTGGGCATTGCTCTCCTTGCTGGTGATGATATCCTTGCCATCGTTGAGCTCCTCGTCAAGGAGTTTCTCTCGTCGCTTGTAGATGACCGGTGTGTAGGTCTCTATGGACTCTAGGTTGTCTAGGAGAATGTTACTCTGTCCATTCTGCTGAATCCGCATGGCACACAGGCGTGGTCCTCGGTATTTGGGGTTCTCCGCCTGGAAAATAAAATTTGTAAAAGCTCCTTATAATGTTTATCTTAAACCTCACCTTGATTGTTTTGATGAGATTCCTGTTGAAGGTCTCAAACATTTTGGCCCCCTCACAGCTGCTGGTCTTATTGCTCCACAGGCTCTGGACGCTTCCCGAGTTGGTGGACTTGAGCTGAGCTGCTGCTGAAGGGGCTGCAGGAGGTGCAGGAGCAGCTGTAGATCCTGGTGGAGCCACAGGTGTCACAGTCTTACTCGCCGGCGTCGTTTCACACACATCCTCCAATTTGGAAACTGTCTGCAGCTGTGGAGGCGCCGGAGGAAGAGGTTGCTCCACCTCTGAAAGATTAGCCTGAGAGATCCCCGCCAGCAGTGGCTTACTGGACTCATCCTCCAACTCATCCGTGGTCGTTCCAGCTACCGCTCCCGTTTCATACTTATTCAGTAACTGGAGGGCAGTGCCACCGCCATCCAGGAACCTCCTTTGATAGTTGCTCCTCAGCTGCCCGAGATTACTCGTCTCTAGGAGATACTTCTCCGCAGCATAGGCACCCAAATGGGTCGTTGGATACATCATTGTAGAGGTGGTAAGCTTTCCATTTACATAATCTTGGGACTGTCCGCCCGGAATCGCTGTTCTCTCGCAAAGACGATGATGTCCCAGTATGGGATTCACCATCAGGTCATCCTTTTTGGCCGGCGTAAAGAGCTTGTCCATGTCATTCAGATCTGAAACGGAACTCTTGGTCTCCGATATAACCGAATCACTGGACTTGACCAGCTTCATCAGATACGGACTGTTGGTCCTCGAGGGAGAGTTCAGATTGCTGTGACACCGCAGGCAGAGTTGGGTCAGTGGCTCGGTCAAACCGGAGGAAGAGCCCTGGACTAACTGATGATGGAACTGATGCGGTGTCTGGGTGGCCACCGTATAGGAACGCGAGACATCTGCCAGGACCTGCAGATCCTGTTTGCTGCACTGACAAGTGTCGCAATGCTTCACCTCGTTCGCCTTTAGCTCATCCTCCAGGAACTTGGCCATAATTGTGGGCGAAATCATATCCGGATTGTTGTTATTGCTGTTGTTATTATTGCTGGTTGTTGTGTGATTTGTTGTTGTTGTTTGATTGTTGCACTTGTTGTTGCTGCTGCTACCAGTTGTTGTTGCTGTTGTGGTTGTGTTGTTATTATTATTGTGATTGTTGTTATTTATAGAGTCCTTGGTATCCTTTAGGTTATTATTTGTGGGCTGATTTGCTGCTGTCTGGGAATTATTAACCGCATTTCCATTAGCCGCATCTAAATGGAGTTCGAAAAATATTTTTTAATTAGTAAAGTTTTCATTTTTAATGTTTATTTTGTTTTTAGTATTTTTATAGAGCATGTTGCTTGCTTGGTTTAATATTTAATTAAATGAAAATATAGGGTTTTCAATTTAATTTAATTGCTCAAGAAACTTGCATAAATTAATATAGAGACTAAATTAAAAATTCATTTAGTTATTTTCCTTTCTAAACAAAAACTTTATTTGTATTCAAAGTATTTCAACAAAAGACCCAGGCTAAAAGGCAATTTGTAAAAGAAAATTAAATGCATATTAGTCTCAATAAAAACTTTTTTTTCAGCCCTTTTTAACTATGCCATTTTGTGGCTCTCAAATTTTGTGCAACAAAAGCATATTCTGGCCAAAAATATGCATATATTAAAACTAGCAAAAATTGTTCAAATTGATCCACAACATAAAAAAAGTTTTTATTTTGAGGCGCAATCATATTTACAGCACACAAACATGTAAATATTTTCCGAAGCCGAGACCACCCAGGAAAATACAACAACAAAAAAAGAAAAATACAAGGAAAAACAGTGGTTGCACAAAGTTATTTTGCAGTACTTTCAAATTGCAATTATGGCAGAAACAACAATAACAATAACTGAAAACAATAAAACCGAATACAATGGCCCCATAATAAATACAAATTAAATATAAAAATGCAGGCAATTAATGCAAATGAAAAGGCATAATAATGAAACAGGAAACGATGATGTGGAATGGATGCAATTATGAGGCAGAAATCAAATTGTGCATTTATTTGCATCCTTCGCGATTCAGTCCGATTCCTAGAAAATGTGCGAATCAATAAATCAAATAAAAGCAATCATGAGGAAATCATGTAAATCGAGTAAGTCCTGGGAGCAACGAGAAAGGAAAAGGTAATATATTATCGGTAAACCGAAACATAGAATACCCTTGCAGGTTTTTATATATGAAAAGATTTACTTGGTTTAGATATATATATATAAATTTTTAAAAGGGATATAGGAAAGCTATTCTGTTCTAATTTTATTTATATTTTTATAAGTACAAAACATCTTTTAAAAATATTCATGTGTGTAATCATTGTTATTATTTCAAATCTGAATACAAAATAAGGTAAAAATTAGAATATTATTTAGAACAGTTTATGATTAATACACAAATCAGTGGGAAGGGTTTCAAGAGTACTCTTTATAGGGATTTTTCCTATAGGTGTTATAGGTGTGTTTAACAAGCTCCCATGTCCCACCAGTCTTTAAAATTATAAAATAAACTTACTAGAAAAATGTTACAGAACAAACTCAAACTTAAAAGGACATCTCTTTACAAGTTCTATGCATTTCCTTATAAATCTCCCCCTGTAAGGGTATTGAAATCATAATAAAAACCAGGAAAATAAGGCTAAAAACAAACATTAAGAATAAAATCAAGTAAAAAATCATAAGGTTGCAAAGCATGGTCTACTAACACCTACCGAGTCCCCTCATCGAATACACCATCGCCGTGGGCGGAAAGGGGCAGGCTGATGGTGGCGGTGAATCTGATGCCGGAAGCACTTTATAGGAAGCTGTGGTGGCCACGCCCACACCGCTATTGCTGCACTCGGAATCGGAATGGGAGTTCGTCTCCAATCGCATATATGCCGACACCTTCGACTGAATATCAATGGGTAGCTGCAAAACGGAACAAAAAATACGCCATTATTTTCAAAAGGGAGGTTGCATTACATTATAGATGGATGGCTGCTGCTTGGATGTGATACCCACCGAGGACACTTTCTGGGGCACAAAACTATCCGGCTTGCACTGCAGCAATTGGATGGCCAGGCTAATGTCAGCCTTGTAGCGTTCCTGTGCAGGAAGAGAACGAGAGCACAGATAAGAGAGGCGTCACGGAAGTGGCATAAACGAGTATGTACAGGTGGAGAAAATATTCCTTACTTCTTAATATTTAACTTAAATTATATAAAAATGAATTTAAAAGCACTTAACCTCATTATAAAATACCTTTAAAATTATATTAAAGCGTATTTTAAATACCTTAAAAAAAAACCTTGATAGTTCTTGAAGAGGAGTTTGAAGGAATTCGGTTAATGTTTCATAGATTAATACATATGAATGCTTTATTATTAGTAGTACTTAAAATACAATTATACACTCGCTTTCTTCATCATTAATGCGCATTTTCTGACTAAAATTTAAGTTTTCTCAACTTAAATTCCCAATTGAATTTTCTCCCAGTGCTTTGCGGTGACTTTTCCGGTGTATGCCTTGTCTGTGTATGGGTTTAGTTTATATAGCTTCTTGCTTCTTTTGACACTTTTCGTATGCAAATGTCAAATATGTTTGCTGTTCGTTTTGTTTTCACTCGACTCCTGTGACTGCAGCAGCGTCCTTTCCGTATTCCCTGCGCTCCAGAAACACATCCTTTTACACATTGTTAAGCAAACTTTTTTTTTTAAAGAAGGGTACTACAACTGCGATGTTGGGTTGACAGGGATTTGAAGTTTCATATTTCAATGGGTTATGGTATGTTGAAATAAAATTAAAAATTTTTTAAGTTTGCAAGGTATTATAATTTTAGTCAGCAGCTTAAAACTGTGTGAAGGAGTCATTTCCGACCCTATAAATCATATATATTCTTGATCAGAATTAACAGCCGAATCGATCTCGAGAAGTTTTAAAGAAAAAAAAAATTTAGTCAAAATTTTCAAAATTTTGAAGGGGTTACATCGTTAAAATTGTGAAAATTTGATAAAAATTTAATTTTTGTTTTATTTTAAATTGAGTATGCAGATTTGTAAACCTGATAAAAACTAACCGAGAACTGCTTTCCAAATTAAAATTAGTGCCTATTTCGCTAAGTTATGAGTTTCTAAACTTTTGATTAGTCGAAAAAATTTGATTATAAAAATATTTATAAATACCGAATGATCGATTTCCGATTCGATCTTATAATTTAATTACCAAACTATCTTTTTAACTGGAACTACTTATCTTTATAAACTTTGAAACTAATCTCCCTTAACACACATGGCGTATACTTAATTTAAGAGATTTCACGTTAAGTATACGCCACGTAAGCTTATTTATTAAAGCCTTATACCCTCTTAGTCAGAAGCTTCAAAAGCAGTAAGGGAGCCATTTTCGACCCCATAAATCATAAAGATTCTTGATAAGCATCAACAGTCGAGTCGATCTAGCAATGTCTGGTCAGCAAATTAATTAAACATACTATGTTTATTCTTTAAACCAAGCAAAGAACTCTTAAAATTTCCTTCACATTCCCAAAAGTTAACATCGGAAAGCTCTTTAATATATTAACTTCCAGGATATTGAGCAATCGTTTCCCTTAAATCCCCAAGGATCTGGACTCCTTAGCTCGTTTCGCTTCCGCTGCTTTTGTGCTTTTTTTGGTGTCAGCGGCAGAGCCTCAAAAAGTTCGCTTCTATTTTGCTTCTTTTTTTGTTTGGTGCGTTTTTGTTGTAAGTTTTGTTTTATTTTTGTGGCACACACACACAACACACACTAAAAGAACTTTTAGATGCCTTTTTAAATTTTCACAAATGCGATGCACTCGAACTTGTTAAACAAGCAACAACAAGCAAGTAACAACGAGTACAGGAGAAAAAGCGGAAAAATGGGGAAAAGCGACAACTGCATTGGTGACCCAAATACAACAACAACACCACCACCACAACAACAATACCACAACAACAGCAGCACTAGAACAACAACTTCAACAATAACAACAACAATCGCTTTGGGCGGAAAAATGGCAAATGGGGAACAGTGGCAGTAACGGTATTTTGGACCACGTTTACCAACACTTACACGCCCCGCCGCCCAACCATTTCCCCCCCGCACCCCCATCTCTCGAGCTCCATTCCGTTTCGGTTGGGTTTTCACGCTGCATTTTCACACTGCATAGCGTTCAGGGAAAAATGGAGACAGTGGAAGAAAATGATAGAAAAATATTCAATAGCCCCAGGTATATGAAGAAGATCCTTCTATCTCGTCTATTTAAATAATTTTCAGTAAAAATATTGAATATTTTTCCTTTTTTAATCAGAGCATAATTATTAATTAATCTAATCATAACATTTTTCAATTAAAAATAAAGAAATTTTGAACTCTTGGTAACATTTTTTTTTTATTTCTTTACTATTTAAGCCTTTTAAAGCTTAAGGAACCCTTATTAAAAAATTTATTTTCACAATTTCCTTACTACTTAATTGCAACTTTTCTCTCTCTCTGCAATGAAAACAAGAAAAGGCATCGAAGAAAAATAGGGAAAAATACGAGAGAAAACAGAACCTTTTCCTTGCAGGGAACTGGAAAATGACGCCGCTTGCATTTTATGTTCATCTTCCTTTATTTTCCCTTTGCACGTTTTTCTTGGCATTTTTATTATTTTTTGTGTGCGCGCCGCCCAAGACCAGGACTCCAGGACTTGGAGTCTCGCTGCTGGCAGCAATTTTATAAATAGAAAAATGCATAAAAATTGCATGGAATAGAAATGAAATAAATTCCTACCGGGGAAAATCGGGGAGGGCGCTTCAAGGAAGGGGGCGTGGCAAGTGGCAAATAGCAAGTGGCTTGGCCTGGCCCGCCCGTGGAAGTGGCAGCTAAATAAGCGGATGCATTGATTGAACTCGAAAAATGTTGATTGTCAGTTGGGGGAGCGTGAAAGTAATTTCTTTAAGCAGGACATGATGATTGTGCTGGGCATTAAAGGATACGAATTCCAATTGCAATTGATTGATGGATTCCAGGCCACAAAACTTATCTCTACTTTTGGATATCGAATTTATTTAGTTTCTTTGTTGCTATGACTTTTTTGGGGGGATTTTCAGAAGAGGATTTGAGAAGTGCAAAAAGTTATTTTGAGGTTTGAAAGGAAGCCTAAAAATAAGTGCTGAAGAGGGGATTACTTTATAGAAATATGTATTAGTTCATCATGGCAATACCTTAGTCTAGTTTAATTTTTAAGCAACAAAGTAAGTGTCCTAGAATATGTTTAAGAAAAATTCGTATAAATTGCAAAAGTTTTCCTTCTTATGCTATAAAGGTGAAGAGTTTTTCGACAGTTCTTGGACTTGATGGCTGCTTGGCTGCTTAACTCCCTCGGATCGTATTCCATTGATCCCTTAACAGTTTCGCCAAGTTGATTGACCCATTTCTGCAAGGATGCGCGTCTCAGCTCAATCCATTTTAGTGCCACAGCTGCAGCCATAAACAAACTCTCCCGGAAAACCCATTTTGCGAGCTATGAAAAAATCCACCAGCGAGCATGGAAACCCCTTTTTCTTCTTTCAACAGCACTTCAAATTCCATTTGGTGAACCGGGCCTGGACACGTTCGATGCAACGGGGCAAATGCAAAATAAATTCCCATTTTTACACTCTTTAATGAAGTGAGTGGCACGGGGCTAAAGGCAAGGACACCAAGGACACGCTCGACGCTAAATTTAAAACGTGCCACGACAGCCCATCGATTCGCATCGATTCAGTTTTAATTAAAAGCAACCATCGGAACCCGCTCCACATATTCAGGCATTGCGTGATTGCATCGCAGCGAGTGCATGTCGGGGCAGTAATAAAGATAATTGAATCATTAGCGTGTGCAGCTTAATTGTATGCATTTAATTAGCAGCCCATAAAAATTCCCTTCCCCGCCATTCCTTGGCCCAAATCAACATGGTCTAAACGCTAGCTGGCTGACAAAAGCCATAAATCAAACATCATCAAGCTGAATTAATTGGGAATGAGTGGGGGAATAAATGAGATTTTTTATGGCAGAAACGGATACCTTAAAAAACTTTAAAATATCAATGGATATGCCTGAGTTAAAGTTTATTTAAATCATTAATTTACTTCAATTCAAGATTAATCTATTACTAATTTAATTTGTCATAGAAATGTAACATTCTATTTATATCCCCCTCAAAGAAAAACCACAACTCTTGCTGATAATCATTTTCTACTTAAAAATCTCAAAGCCTTACCACACAAGATTTATTTTGAATTAAAACCATTGGATAAAGGATAAAGGATAAAAAGGATAGTAGTAGCTCTCAGACACCTCTCATTTAATTAATTCACTTTTTACTACACTATATACTATGCAGAATGCGACAAAAAATTCCCTGCATATTTTGTGGCTTGCAGACGTGCGGAAAAAAAACTGCACGGCAAATGAAAAGGGAAAAGCGTACGTAGTATATAAAAAAACGAAAAAATACGATTAAAAACGAGAGTGGGAAACTCTCCTTTAGCCGCAAAGGAAAAGCCGAACACATTCGTAGGCCGCAAGTCTGATTGCCTTTTGTCCCTATGTTTGTGTGGCTTTCTACAGCATTTTTTTCGCCAGTTTTTGGTTTTCTTTTTTTTACACTGGCTCGTTCCCCTTCCGGTGGCTTAGAACTCGTCACGGCTTTTGTGCAATTTCACGCTTGTTTGCTGACCAACAGCTGACCGCAAGCCAAAACCAGAGGTCCTGCTGCAAAAGGAGGAAAAGCGCGCCGGGCCTTTACGCGGGAAAAGGTGGCGGCGACAAAGAGGGGCAGCACTAGAGGTGGCAACAAGAAATGCTTAAAGTAAAATAGTTTAGCAAGAAAGGTATAGAAAAAATATCTAGAAAATAGAAAATCACATAATTTTAAGTTAAATGTGGTTTTAAATAAATTTATTTTACTGCCAAATGTATTTGTATAAAATAGGTAAAGTGTAAAACATATTTCTTTATACAAAAATGCATACTTTTCGATTAAAAATATTTAAATTTATTCAAGAAATAATTGGTGAGATATCCACTTAATTTATTATCCATATTTAAATTTAAATTATAGG